GCAAATATCAGCGAAAAAAATATTATTAATTAATGTTATCCCATCTTCACACTAATACAACTTGCCCTAAAACCATCCCACCATGAAGATGATAACGTTATGATACCTACTGTCACGGTCAAATAATTTAAAGTAATCTATAAATTTTTTATTTTTTGAGGAGGATTAATTAAAAAGTATTACAAAATGGGGACGAGAGATGGAAAATTGGTGTATAGTTGGTCCTTCGCTAGCTGTTTATGCAGTTCTTAATAGGTAATGAAACGATTTTCTTCATGATATCACAACAGGAGTTAATAACCCAACAAAAATTAACTAAAACCAGTAAAATTATTTTAAATATTTTTTATGTTTCCAAAAAAAGATTGTGCTGGGATAAATTATCACACTCAGCCACAGGTCATAACTCATAAGGGCACCAATTATGTAGCTGTGTTTGCTAGGTGAGTATTATTAAGTTTTATATTAATTATTGGGATATTGAATGGAGGAAGAAGACAAGGGAAGAAGGATGGGCAGAGAAGAGAAGAAAGACTACCCAATAGGACTAGTAGTGGGTCAGTGGGAAGGTTTGACTTTTATTAACTAAAAACAATACAAAAACCAAACAAAACAAAACACCGCACCAAACTGGAAAATTTTATCCTTGTGTTTGGTGATGCAGTAAGTAAATCCTGTCGCCAAGGTCCCAAGGATAAGCAAATCGTGGATTAGAAGGTAAAAAATACGTCAAAATAGATAATAAGACCCGTTGATGCATTCGATCTGAAGTTCAAGCCTCAAGCTAAAAACCAAGATAAAAATCAATATTCTGCTAAAAACTAACCCTAAAACCCGAGTTTCAGCCTTTATATAGGTTTGGACAATTAAAAATAACAAAAACAGTTGAAACACACAAATTTGAGTCACCCAGGCAAAATACCCGGTCGGGTATTTAGCCTCCACGACCGGGGGGCTTTCTGGCCAAAGGAGACCGGTTGCTGCCAAAATACTGGGTCGGGTATTTGGCTTCATTGGTCGGGTATTCCCCCCTCCCCACCCTCCCCCCCCCCCCCCCCCCCCCCCCCCCCCCCCCCCCCGCCCCGCCTGGCTTCCTTCCGCTGCTTGGAATCGCATCAGTCCCTCCCCGTTGGAAGAAGCTTTGCCCTCAAAGCTTGTGTTTTCCTGCAAAAGACCACATCAGCAATATTTCCAAATGAACTTCTCCTCAATGCAGTCAACATGTTCCTTCAAACCATCAGATGGGCTCCACTTCCGTCCTCCGACTTCGAACAACTTGAACTTTCCTTCTCCTTGGCCCAGTTCATGGCCAGTTGTTGTTGATATTCCCGGACTTCACCCGGTGACAATGGATTTAGCGGGAACTTCCGGTCGCCTCTCTTGAACCGATAGTTGTTGTGCCTTCCATCATAAATAGCTCCTCGATCATATTGCCACGGACGACCCAATAAGATATGATCAGCCTTCATTGGAGCAACATCACACCAAATCTCATCTGCATAATCACCGATCTGGAAACAAACCTTGGCCTTCTTGTTGACTTTGATATTCCCATAATCGTTCAGCCAATGCAGAGTGTATGTTTGAGGATGCTTGATGGTGCTCAATCTCAACTTCTTGACTGCATCTAGACTAATCACATTGGTGCAGCTACCACCATCGATGACCACAGACAACACCTTCCCGTCGACCAGGCAACGAGTGTTAAAGAGATTATCCCTCTGCTATGTCTCTATGTAAGCTTCAATAGATAAAGCTCGACTGTTCACTCCAAGAAGTTTACCTGTTGGAGGTTTCTCGGCCTAGATGTGCTCATCCACATCATCATCTTCAGAATCAACATCAGAACCGAATCCATTACCCATGGGCATCTCTTCGTACTCCTCCTCATAAAAGTACTCTCCATCTGGCAAGACAATAGTCTTCTTGTTGGGGCACTGGTTAGCCTTTTGACCTCGACCAAAGCGCTTGAAGCACTAGATGCTTCCAGTTGAGCCTTCATTCTTGGCTTGAATGACTGGGGTTGTGTTCCTTGCAGCTGGCTTGTCACCTTCTGGCTTAGGGTGATTCATGTTAGCCTCAGAAAGGTTCTCTACAACAGGTTTGGGTGAAGTTGGGTACCTTCTTCCCGAGCTCACCTTCAGCTGTCTCTCTACCTTCATGGCCAAATGCATCGCTGCCTCCAACTCCACAAACTGACGAAGCTCCACTTCATTCTTGACTTCCCTATTGAGCCCATGCAGAAAGTGAGCAATCGTTGCTTCCTTGTCTTTCCTCATAGCTGCTCTCATCATGAGCAGTTCCAGCTCTTTAAAGTACTCATCTACAGAACGTGCTCCTTGTTGAATTCCCTGTAAGGCATCGTGGAGATCTCTCTGATAGAAAGGAGACACAAAACGATCACGCATCAAGCCTCAAAGTTCTGCCCAAGTAGAAACTTCAGGCTGCAGATTCCTTCTTCGTCGTTGTTGAATCTTTTCCCACCAAATTGCTGCAATGTGTAAACTCATATGTGGCTACAATAACTTGTTGATGCTCTGGGTAAGGATTGCATTGGAAAAATATAATCATCTTCCTCTCCCAGTCAAGGTAAGCTAATGCACTATTAGTGCCTTGAAACTAGGAAATTGAGAGCTTAATCCCTCGAAATCAGCTCAACGCCATAACCTCCTGCTTCCGGTGGTCTTCCTCCATACTCATAATAATCATTCTCATAGTCATTAAATGGAGGTATGTTATGTGGAATTACCTGAAGACGTTGCTCCGTGTATTGGCGCCTCTGCATTTGCCAATCTGGGGTCTCAGGAAAAGGTTGGTACACTCGATCTGCTCTTGGACCCTCTCGGTTCGCGACTCCAGTTATAGCTTCGACAATTCCCGGATTCTCCGATGGTAGTGGATTACCCATTGGTTGGTCTCCAACCTAGTGATTAGGGTATCCAGCCTCTGATTTGTCTCAACCAGCTGACCTTTGGTAGCGTCTTGTTGGGCCTGAAGCAAGGCTCCCATCTGCGCCATCAATTCGAGCCTAATTATACATATTTTACCCCCGTTTTTCCTTAGGCGTTTGTGGCAATTGTGCTCCTAAAAGGGTGGTTTTACGTGAAGTTTCTTGTGTTTTAGCATGTTTCGGGATTTAACAAGTGAAACCAGCCCCAGAGTCGAAGGTTGGACGAAAAGGAGCGAAAACTGGGAGAAGAGGTGAAAAACAGGCAGTTCACAGTTTCTCTTGGAAGTTCACGGTCTGTTAAGACCGTGAAGAGGAGCTGTTGCCCGTGAACATCAAGGCATCCAGGGCCAAAACTGAAGTTACTGACGCTATGCGAGTTCACGGTCGCTACTCGCTAAGACCGTGAACTGGAGTTGTTGCCCGTGAACCTGTGCAAGCGAAGCTGTGCGTTTCGACGCCAACCTTGAGTTCATGGACGCTTTCAAGAGTTCACTGCCGTGAACTGAGCTCGATCCCTGTTTAAAAGGAGAGCTGAAAGGAAGAGAAAGGGAGATCCCAAGAGTGAGAAAGTGTCTTCTTCTTCAGATTTTAGAGAGATAAAGAACGAACGAAAGAAGAAAGAAGGCTAGGGTTTGCTCCAAGTAGTGAATTGGGAAGATTCTCCCCAAGAGAACTTCAACACAAGCTCAAAGGAGATTGGAAGCATCACCATGATGGTTTCTGCCTCTTCCTCTTGTATTTCTCCCCCTTCTAGCATGGAGTAGTTTCCTTTTTCACTTGGGGGTTGTGAAACCCTAACTATTTGTCATGTAGTTGTTATGTGAATTGAATGATTGTTTATGGGTGTTGTTTAATTCAATGATTGAGGTATTTTTCATGTTGATTGTGCCTAATTGTGCTTAGCAATCTAATTGGCCATTCTAATTTACCAAGATTAGGGGGAAACCCCCTTTCATGGGAGGCTCAATTGAGTTGGGAATCCTAGGGCTTCTCAAGCCACCTATCTAGGTTAGTGTAGGGCAAACCTCGATGTTGAATTAAACAATTTGGTTAAGCACGATTAAGTCGACCAACCATTGGGTTGAGTGAGGAAGTAACTCAACCATCGATTGCCTTAACCAAGAGGGCCACTTGAATAGCCTATAATGTATCCCTCGGTTTGGCAATCGAGAGTGTGATCTACGACCATATTTGTGTCCCCTAGCGGTTCGCGGTCACCTTGCCCATAACCATCACTTCGATTCACATACCATGGTAGTAGTTAGGGGGAAGCGACACCCGAGTGATCCTTCTCACAAAGAGCTTTCAAAACCATTTACTTTTGTCTTTCTTTACTTTATTTAGCAAACTTTTCAACCAAAACTGATTCGCTAGATAATGATTCAAATGACTGAAGTAGGGGTACACGGACCGGCCCGAGTCGATATTTAAACATACATGCCCTGTATTGCACGTGACTAAGGTTTATACTTGGACCTTAGGCGGGTTAATTGTGATATTCGGAGTGAGTCAAGTTTTTGGCGGGGCAAGCAGCTTCTAGCTTTGGCAAGATTCTGACTCTGCTCCCCCATGACTGGTTCTTCAATTGGGGTTTCTCCTTCAGAGAGTGATTCCTTCTCTTCTCTGCATTTTGCTATAGGATATTTGGACCACGTTCGACAAGCAACAGGTCCTCTCGCTTTCGATCCTGCCACTGTGTTGAACCGGGGCTCTGATACCACCTGATACGAGCACGGAGCCGGTACCTGTAGTTATCAAAGTACGCAGCTTCAAGAACGAACAATAGAACGTCTGTTTAGGGGTTTTTGTTTGTAAGGATAAGGTAAAATTGAAAGTACAATCTCAACGCAAATTTGGGAGAAGGCTCAATCAATATAAAAGATAGAATCTCGACCACAATCAAGGGGAAAAATTGATTGATATAGAGAAAAAAAATTCAAGCCTCAAGCTCAAAACTAAGATAAAAATCAATATTCTGCTAAAAACTAACCCTAAAACTCGAGTTTCAGCCTTTATATAGGTATGGACAATTAAAAATAACAAAAATCGCTTAAACACACAGATTTTCGTCCCCCGGACAAAATACCCGGTCGGGTATTTAGCCTCCACGACCGAGGGGCCTTCTGCTCAAAGGAGACCGATTGCTGCCAAAATACCCTATCGATGTCCCAAAATACCCGGTCGGGTATTTGACTTCATTGGCCGGGTATTCCCCTCCGCCAAGCTTTCTTCCGCTGCTTGGACTCGCATCACAAACACTCTACGGTTCGAGGATGGAGGGAGAATGAGATGTATGATGATATAGATCAAGAACCAACTTTTTTAAAACATCTCTATTTGACTTAGTTGTACAAGCGAGCGAGATAAATAAGTGTGTTCATAATTCACCTCTTCCATATATTCACTTATAAGAAATTAGCCTTAAAAAGTTGTAACAGCACTTAATTTGTCCACATGATGCTTAAGGTTACAATATATATGCTCTCGACCTTATATTAACTAGCACATCAAAGAGTTCTCAGCCAAACATAAATCGAGAACATTGAATGCAACCTGAAAATCTTGGAATCTGGCGGCCAAAATGTTCAATTGAAATCAAACTAATATGAATTACTAGAATGAGTATACCGGAAAATACTGATACATTAGAGCTTCATTCCTAAAATTTGAATAGTCGATAGCATCAAGCTCTAAAATATTACAAACATAGCTTACAAAAGTTGCGAGCTAAAAGCATTTATGAAATGAATCGGTAACATTACATTAGTAAGAGTTTGATCTCATTGTTTTGTTGTTATTTTCATCTTTACCTTAATCAACAAGGTTCCTCTTCGTGAAAGTAAGGAAATGGGAACGAACAATCGAACAAAAACAGAATGCAGGACAAATTCGTCAATTAGAGAGAATGACGAGAGAGAAACAGAGAGGGGAAAGGAAACAAAGCAAAGAGGTGAACAATAAAGAAAAGAAGAAAACAAAACCCCAAGCATTCATTTCTCCTTCTTGTCATCTTCGATAACCTCCAAATTCAGGCCCCCATTACCCCTTTACCCACCCCAATCCCCATCCTCCTCTCTCCTTTACCTTCTCCTTCTTCTTCTTCTTCTTCTCCTTCTCCCCTCACCCACTCTGCCATTCATTCCTCCCTTCTTCAATCCCTCGTCATTTCCCTTCTCCCTCTGCAACACCTCAACTTTCCCCCCTTTTCCCCTCTCTCATCTCCCACCATGAAGCGCTCTCTCGAGGCCGATTCAGGTTCCGAATCAAAGAAAATCAGGCTCCAGGAGGATGAAATTGCGGCAGATTCACCCGATTCGGGAACTGGGTTCATGAATTTGGACGAGAATCTGCTGTACGAGGTGCTGAAGCACGCCGACGCGGCGACCTTGGGCCGGGCGGCCTGCGTGAGCAAGCAGTGGCACCGGACCGCACAGGACGAGCGGCTGTGGGAGCTGATCTGCACCAAGCACTGGGCTAACATCGGCTGCGGCAACACCCAGCTTAGATCCGTGGTGCTCGCCCTCGGCGGGTTCCGCCGTCTCCACTCCCAGTACCTCTGGCCTCTCTCCAAGCCCCAATCCAGCAGCTCTGCTTCTGGGTCGTCGTCGTCGGCGTGGGCTCCCTTCCCGCCGATGATCGGCGCGAAGCCGCCGGCGAGGTGGGGGAAAGACGAGGTGCATCTTTCCTTGTCGCTACTCTCAATTCGGTACTACGAGAAGATGAATTTTGGTAACCGCGGCAGGTAGATGAACCAGCGGTTCACCAACTCCAATTATTATCATTACCACCCAGCTTAAATATATATAGGAAGAAGAAGAAGAGGAAGATGGCTTTTTTCTTCTTTTTGGCTACTGAAACTCTCAATTTTTTTAGGGGTTTGCTTCTGTTTGTTTTTGGGGCTTCTCATGGTGAACGATGTTCCCTGTTACTGTTAAAGAGTGCCTGTCTAAATTTGCCTAGAGAGAAATTTGGGGACTTTAGCCTTTTGCTTGGTTTTGGGTTTGTTTCTTCTTTGTCTTGAGATTTTTTGTAATGTAATCTCCTCTTAACCTAGTAGCTCCAGTGTTGTTGTAATGTAAGCTCTGTTCATGAAATGAAATTGGGCTCTGTTCCCATTGAATCTGAATTGAGTTAAGAAGAGAGCAGGCCGTAGAAGCAACTGTGCTTAACTGCATATAGTTATAGCCTTTTCAGTCATTGACGACTGAAGAGGCAGAAGCATAAGCTCGTTCCGGTGTGGATGTTTGCTTCATCTTTAGCAGGAAAGGGGCAATGGCGGAATATGGAAAGGGATTTTGATTGGAGAAGAGTAAGCACGAACAGAGAGAGCCAAAAGGAGGGGGGTGAATGGGTCCAGAATATGGTTGGAGTGGGAAGGAAAAGGAAGGATGTCTGGCTGTCAGATACAATGTCCATCCATCTATCAATCTTTCTAATCTCTGCCTTCATTTTCCAGGGTAATTTTTGTAATGGCGTGATTGTATTGTAACAAAGGTAAGGAGATGGGACAGCTTTATGGTAAGGTGGAGTGAATATGCCTACTTTTTGGTGGGATTAGGAGGGTTGTCGTGTTTTGGCAGTAGAGTTAAAACTCCACCACTGTGCATTTCGGTGGGGTTGGTTTGGTTCTTCTGCTTGACCATTTCTTCTGCACCCTTTTGTGTATGGATGGGTATGGTGCAGAATCGTAATTTAGAAGCAATGGAGCAGTTGAATCAATGATGTGCACCATTGAAAATTCTTTTGTTAGGTCTAGGAAACATAATTTTCAGAAAATGAAGGTCCAAGAGACATTTTCTAGGAACGAGAAGACTACTATATAGAAGTTAGAGGAAGATTATGATGAAGCCCAACATAGTCATTGCGCCGAGGTACTCTCAGTCTCTCATGTTGTATCCGTTGTCTTAAAGGATCGCAAATTTGACTCAATAGTTGGATCGGAAGAATTGAGAAGTCAGCTCATTAATTGAGCGTTGCTGGTCATTCATTTCAGAACATCTTTCTTGCTTGGATACGAAGAAGCACAGGTCGCTGCAAACTGCCATTCAAGCTTGCAGTGAGTCTATTCCCTTCATCATAGATACGAAATTGGAAATCTCATAGGGAAAAGTTTATGGCATTGAATCGTATGAGGAATGGACGGAGTTAGATTTGACTTTTTTTTCATTGTAGGCACGGATACGTGTAAACTTAGTGAAAAGAAGGAATTGGAATGGACTAGTTTTGTGTATGGATGGGTATGGTTGAGAATGATAATTTAAAAAGAGATAGGCAGTAGAAACAATGATGCACACCTTTGAAAATTCTTTTTGTTAGAATATGATTTGAATTTGATTTGGGTTTGTTTTGTGTTTTGGGCCTATTTTGTTTGAGTTTGTATTTGAGTTTTGTTTTGACCTTTTTCCTTGTATGTTTGGGAAAAGGTGTTTGGTTTTCTGTTTGGGATTAGGAGAAGAGTTCTATAAATACTCTTCATCACCCTAGTCTGTAGTGGGGGTCAGTCAGGTTAGTTTGTTTGGTTTGTCCGTTTGGAATTCGGTTTGTAACTTGTACTCTCCTCAAATCAGTGAAATTTGTTCCCCCTGCCCGTGGATTAGCTAGCACACATTGTGTTAATGAACCACGTTAAATTTGTGTTCGTTCGTGTTGGTTTGGATTATCAATTGCCACGCTTCTGTTCTGACACTTTTGTTAGGTATAAGAAACATATTCAAGAAATGTAGGTCCAAGAAGCATTTTCTAGGAACAAGAAGACTACTATTTAGATTTTAGAGATCATATTTAGATTTTAGGAGAAAACTAATGTTGGAGCCCAACATAGTCATCGTGTAGAGGTACTCCCATAAAGTGAGAAGACTACTATTGAAGAGCTGCATCAACATCGGCATACGTCTTTGACATGTACTCCCATATAGTGTACGTTGTCTTTAATGATTGCAACCACAACGTTATGGTTGGATTGAATAAATTGATTAGTCAGCTCGTAAATTTAACATTGTCTTTCATTTTAGAACATCTTCCTCGAAAGCTGGGAGACACAGGTCGTTGCGAACCGTCATTCAAGATTGCACCAAGTCCACTACCTTCAACAAAAATACGATACGTTCTTGCCATTGAGTACGAAGATGAAGTTGGATTTGAACGTCCTTTACTGTAGGTTATGATTCCATGTAAACTTGGTGAAATGAAAACGAATTAGGACTGCGAAACGTATTCACTATTCTTGTATTGAAGCAAGAAACCTTGATTCCTTGTATACACGTATATCATTAGTATATATAGCCAAGGGCGGACGGTATAGCTACGGTTATCTTCATCCTGTGACCCTAATCTGTACATAAAGACAAAGTCTATATCATATTATATACACACAGGCCATAACATATGTTGGGATTCAACATATTTCTACTTAGATTGCGTACTGGTTCAGCTATTTCGTGCCAACTTCAACAATTATCAGTCAGCCAATTAACGAGATCCATACCAGTTTATTATTGTTTTTTTTTTCGCCCGTTCATTCAGACAGAAGGAATATTTTTGGGCCCTGTGGGTTCTGGGAAACTGATGAGGTAATAGGTAAGAGGTATAATTCCTTTAATTGGGCCATTTTCACTCCAAATTGGGCTGGGCCTGCTTAAACCAAAACCATAAAATTGACGGACCATCCAATCCAAATGGGGATTGGGGAGAGAAGATTGCTTTGCTGGCTTGGGATGGCATGTGATGCGCTCTTTTTTTTTCTTTTCTTTCAAAAGATCGCCCGTATTATCGGAAAAACAGTCGGATACAAAAAATTATATAGCTGAAAACACTTAAGAAACAAAATTGAACCCCACTAAAGAGGGGGACAAGGAAAGAGCTTTTCTTGTCACCAAGTGGGCAACCCTGTTACACTCTCGACCAACAAAAAGGACTCTAAACTCATGGAACAAGCCCCACAAATTTCGTATCTCCACCAAAAGCGTATCGCCAAAGAAATCTGCTACATCATCCTCTAGGATCTTGTTGGATAAATATGAGTAAGCCTATGGGGGACATGGGCTCAATAGACTTAATTGGGCCTGGGCCCAATCAAGGGCATGAATGACAAAGTAAGAGTTGGGCCCAAATTCGGAGGACCGGGCGCACAACGACAAAATAGACGCGGGGACCATGCTGCTATGAGGCCAAGAGGCTGAGAGCGTGCCACCTGGACATGTGGTCCTGCCAGGCGCCTGAGCGTCGGGGTCTGGGAGCTGCCACGTGTAGATGCCCGACCGTTGGACCGTACTAGGCATTTAATGATGCGCTGACGTGGAGCTGGAATCCGGGAGCTTGGTCGGGACCTCGTCGAGTATAAATAGTACTCGGTAGGTAGCATTTAAGCAGATGGGCTTCTCTCACTAAAAAGCTTTCGGATTACTTCTCTCTCTATAAGCAGACTCTGGCCTGAGCGTCGGAGTGCTAACGGGCCACTAGGCGTCTGTTGGTGCAGGATCTACGCGCCTGATTCCAACTGCAACACGGGAGAGAGAAGAATCGAGGCTCGGGGTAACGCGACATCAACAATTGGCGCGCCAGATAGGGGGCGCAAACTGACATCGGGCGCATGGAGAACTTAAATGAGGGGATCGGAGAGGAAGATGCTACGAGATCAGAGAATTCCCACATGGGAGACGGCGAACGTCAGTCGAGTCCTGAGACGCCTATGGACGTGGAAGGGGAGGCTAGCCATGGGCGCCTGTCTCCGGGGGAAGATGAGTCCTTAACGAAAAGGGAATTGTTTCGAATCATTGCTGACCAAGATAGGGCCATTGCGGCGCTTCGGAGGGAGATAGAAGGGGGGAGGAGTGAAGACTTGATGACGTATAGTCCGGGGGTCAGAAAGCGTGAGAGGGCGAATGAAGACTTGGAGTCCCTGCAGTACGGGCTTCCGCATCATGCTGATTTAGGCGCCGCTCCGGGGCGTTCTCGCGCCTGGAGACCGCAAACCCCACCACACGCAAACGAACTCGAGGAACCCAATGTTTGGGCGCCTAGGCGTCTAGAAAGGCGCTTTGGCGTACGACAACCGCTTGCGCGAAGTATTTTGGTGGAGCCAGCTGGGACAACGATACCACCATTGCCAAGCTATGATGGAGTGGCAGACCCAGAAGACCATTTGAATAGCTACTTCACCAAGATGCAGTTGTACAATAGCTCGGATGCTACGTTGTGCAAGGTGTTCCTGTCCACGTTCGCGGGAGTAGTTTTGGACTGGTATCACCAAATTGAGGAGGGGCGCATCGAATGCTTCGAGCAATTCGCTGAGTTGTTCTTGTCTAAGTTCGCTAGCCGGAAACGTCGGACGCTGACCATAGGCGCCTTGTTCAAAGTAAAGCAAAGGGAGGGAGAAGCGCTCAGGGAGTTCTACGACCGTTGGATTTCGGTCGCCATGGCGGTCAAAGATGTACAACCAGCCGTGCTGGGAGTCTGCCTAGATGCTTGCACCACCAGTGAGGAGCTATGTCGAGTCCTCTCGAAACGAGATGTGATGTCCACCGAGGATTTGGATCGAAGGGTGCAAAAAGTAATCATGTTGGAAGAAACGTTGGCTGCACGCAGAGCCGAAAAGAGGCGCCTGAGAGGTGACGAAATAGAAGGAAGACAAGCGCCTAGGCCGATGATGGGGAGCGGCATGCCTCAAAGAAGACCAGATATACAGCGCCCAACGCCAAGGGCAACAGGAAGCTTCACGGAATGCAATGATACATTGAAGAACGTCTTGCAGTATGTCAAAGACAGAGGGTATCACATACGATGGCCAGGGCCGATGCGTGGACAACCAAACGAGAAAAATCTTGATCGGTATTGTGATTTCCACCGAGACAAAGGGCATTACACAGCCGATTGCTATCAACTGAAGGCCGAGCTCCAAACCTTGGCAGACAAAGGAATGCTCAACGATTTCGTTAGAAGGGGGGAGGAGAGAACTCATCGCACTTACGCGGCAAGAATGGCGAGACAAGCACGGGCGCCCAAGGTCCAAGAAGCGCCTGGAAGGGTGGTGACGCAATAGGCGCCTGAGATACCTCCACCGCCTTTTGAGGTAGACCAAGATAGTGACCCCAACCGCGTGAGACTCACGGTAGAATCAATTACCGGCACCCTCGATTTGAGAGATAAGTTGGAAAGGACTAGGCGCCTAAGAGCCGCATCAGTGGAAGCAAAGGCGGCGGTGCATATACACTTCAACCAAGAACCTGATGAAGCGTGCCAAGTTCCGTCGGAGAGGGCATTGGAGATACAAGGGGTGATAGCGGGATGCAAGGTGAAAAGAATGTTGGTGGACACTGGAAGTTCGATGGATGTCTTGTTCAAAAGTACGTTTGAACGCATGCAGCTGGCGCCGGAGCTGGTAAGGCCTTCGAGTTCGGTGTTGATAGGATTTTCAGGGGCGCCCGCCCAGGTCATCGGCCGGGTGCGACTCCCTGTAACTCTAGGAGATGAGGTGCATTGTGTGACTCACTCGGTGGAGTTTGGCATCGTGGATTGTCCTTCCCCATACAATGTTATTCTGGGGCGCCCCCTTTTGGCACATTCAATGGGGTGGCTTCCACGTGTCACCAATCGTTGAAATTCGTGGCGCCGCAGGGCATTGTCATCTCACGAGGAAGGAACGCCCCACGCTATGCACGAGAGGTGGAGCGAGGTGTTCGGCGACACAGAGTGAATATCATTGACATTCGACCCGAAGAGGCGCCCGGAGCCGAATCTTTGGACGGGGAATTGGTTACAGCACTTGATGAAAGGCGCCCGGAACGACAGGTAAGAATATCCGAGCAAGCCCCCGAAGACATGAGGGTACCATTGATCGAACTATTGGGCGAATTCGGAGAATTGTTCGCTTGGAGCGCGCAAGACATGCCTGGTGTGTCACCCGAGATGGCGGTGCATAGGCTAGCTGTGGAGGAGAGCAAAAGTCCGGTTCAGCAAAAACGTCGGAATTTGACCCAAGAAAAGGAAGAAGCGCTCCGTTGCGAGGTGGATAGGTTGCTGGAGGCAGGGTTTGTGGAGGAAGCAAGATACATCACTTGGCTTTCCAACGTCGTTTTTGTCCCAAAGCCAGCGGGAGATTGGAGGATGTGTGTGGATTTTACCAACCTTAATCGGGCATGCCCCACTGATGCTTATCCCATGCCGCGTATCGACATACTTGTGGATGCGACAGCTTATCATGAGGCGCTTAGCTTCCTGGATATGTTCTCGGGTTACCATCAAATTCCCATGGCAGAGGAGGATAGGGCGAAGACTGCTTTCATGACACCCTTTGGTAATTTCTGTTACAGAGTGATGGCATTTGGTCTGAAGAATGCGGGGGCAACTTACCAGAGAATGGTCAACCAAGTATTCCGATAGCAACTAGGACAAAACGTGGAGGCATATGTAGACGATCTGATTGTGAAGAGCAAGAGGCGCCTGGACCACATCCGGGATCTTCAAGAGACTTTTGAGACCATGCGCCACTTCAAGCTAAGGCTCAATCCCAAGAAGTGTGTGTTTCTAGCAGAAGCAGGGAAGTTCTTGGGATTCATGATAACAAGGAGAGGGATCGAGGCCAATCCCAAGCAAGTTGAGGCAATATTGAACTTGGCGCCCCCTCGGACGCCGAAGGA